AATAAACGATTGATGTTTCGACAGTTCTTCTGTCATCTTCAGTTCTGATTTATACAAAGTACAAAGTTGAATTTAAATTGTATAACAAAATGCTCATTGGCTCCTGTCATTGGACAAAACAAACAATAGAAACAGAACAATGTGTGCAATTACAAGGAAAGTTTTAAATAAAACATGATAAAGTTGATGATTACTAGTAGGTTGCTCCCATTGAATGTGAATAACTTCTTTGATTTTAAGTTGGAGAGTTGTGGGAGTGTGATCTAAGATGCCAAATACTCATCAGAACATAGATTGCTACATTGTTGAGAATTTTGTAAATGTCTGAAAATGCGAGAGGTCCTATCAGATTATTTCTGATACATCAAAACAACTCTTACTGAGGGTATGAGGGAGGTGCGGTTGTGAAACACTTTAAAATTTACCAAAACTGGTTACAAATCTTTTACGTTAATTACCGGGTTGATACAATCGCATAATGGTATGTCTTAAAGGTAAAATCAAATGGAATGTTCAAAACCTCAAAACATGGTAAACCAGCTGCCAAATATGCGTGGGATACACCCATGTGGCAGCCACGTAGATACGCGAAAATCAACTGGAAACAAGAATTTAAATCGCTCACACAACGCGACAAAATATTTCCTTACATATCTTGGGAGTGTTGTCATCATCAATTTCAAGACTTTGAAGCCAGTTTCTTTCCAGTTGAGTATTCTTTTGCACATTTGCTCTTCGTTTCCGAAGTCTTTAAGGTGAACTTTGATCGAGAATAGAGCGTACGGTGTGCGGTCCTACAAAATATTTTCATATCAATCGTTGGGTTTGTTGTCATCGTCGATTTTAAGATTTTAAAGCCCTTTCCTCTTCAATTGAGCATTCTTGCGCACGTTTCCTGTTCGTTTGTACCTGATTTATACAGATGTATTTTTATCAAGGATCAAGTGAAAAGAAGGGACAACAAGCTAGATCATTTAAGCTACGACGACAGACGTCATTTTGAATTATGTTGATAACTCCACATAATAAGATAAAAATTTTCGGCCCTTGCTCCACATTCAAGATATCTGAGCAGAAGTCAATGGCATGATATTGGGGACGAAAGAGGCTCGAGAATCTCATCCGCAGTTTTCCACGTCTCCCCTTGGGACGCCTGGAAAGACGATGTTGATTTGGCGACTAAATAAAAAGAAAAAAAAAGAATGACTCGAATGTTCCTACGGAAGTTCGAGTTAAAACTAAAAGGTAATAGAGGTCAAGAACTTCAAACTTCAGTCAGAGTAGCTCCATTACATGCAATTTTATAAATCTCTGCCAAAATTCAAGTGCTTTTTTAAACAATTAAGAGTTTCGTTATGTTCACTATTTAGTACAAACCAATCTCTTGGAGCAAACCCTTTCTTTGTATTCAAAATTATATCCTATGTGACTAATCTAAGTTCAATGCACAAAAAAAAAAGATTTAAGGTTGAAGATCAACTATTCTCCAACAATCAAGTATTTGAATATTCAAGTTTTTCCGGGCTTATCTCTTGAATGTTGCACGTGGTTTAATAGTAAAACTTGAATGCTGAAATAAACATGGAATTTTGGCACTTACCAGATGAACACTTAAATGGAGGAATGACTTTTGCACTTTTCTTTCTTTTATAACAGCAGATTATTTCTAAACGGAGTGCAGAATTGGACACATAAGTAGAAAAGAGTACAATCGTTTAGCCAATAAGGAGAAAGGTTGGTGGGGAATCCATCCAGGGGAGTTCGGGGTGAGAAAATTGCTCGATAAACCTCATAAGGAGATATTACGCTCTTAAATGGGTTGGGTTGCTTCACTATGTCTGGGCTACAATGAATAATTTTGCGTGACTCCGTCCAAATCAACAGGTTTAAGCTCGCTGGTTAAAGTAATACAGTTTTAAGTCAGTATTTTCGTATTTGAAAACATCATCATTTATTTTTGCTCTTCTGATTCTTTTCAAAATTCTAATTAATCATGTAAGAAAATATTTTGGGTCTTTAAGCTCTTGTATTAAACAGATCCGTGAAAGAGAAGGCCTATTATCGTCCTACTCAGGTAAGGCACTTAAAGATTATTTTTCCCCTGAACTTGGATTAGGAATCCAAGATCTCACCGGTAACTCTATCACCGAGAATCTATCAGGTAAAACTGAAAACTTTTCGGGAGTGGGACGGTGGTAAAGGAGTCACCATTTCCCTTGTTTATGTCAGATAAGTTACAGGGGTAAATTTCATGTCTGACAAAATAGCAAAGCAGAAGGACGATATAAATGTTAAAAAAGAATAAAAAAAAGTAAAACTGCTGAGGACTCTTTTAAGACACATGTTCCAGAACAATTACAGAACATAGAAATTTCTACCAAAATCGATGTAATTCCCGATAAACATGATCACTACTGACATTTAATTGGATGTCGCTCAAGTTACGAGGAAATTTTGTCAGTTTCAAGCTTTCGATCGTAAAACCAATAGAGATACATGAAAAACAACTAAACGTATTTCTCTCTCTCTCTCTTTTTTTTTTAATAAATCCATAACTTTGTGTCAAACTCATTCAAATATTAAAGCACATTACATTGCTTTTCATTCTGTGTCACTCAAATATGTAGAGAAGCTTATAAGCTATAGCTTATGTAGTGTATTTCTTATTTGAGTATCTTTCTAGCTTAAAAGTCCACGGGTAAGTTACAGGGGTAAATTTCATTTCTGACAAAATAGCAAAGCAGAAGGACGATATAAATGTTAAAAAAGAATAAAAAAAGGAAAACTGCTGAGAACTCTTTTAAGACACATGTTCCAGAACAATCACAGAACATAGAAATTTCTGCCAAAATCGATGTAATTCCCGATAAACATGATCACAACTGATGACATTTAATTGGATATCACTCAAGTTGGACGGAGGTAGCATAATTTTTGGGTTTCTCTTAAGAATCTTAATTTTAGTTTCGTTGACATTAGTATAAGTACAGTAGTCTATTAAAATTATTGTGAAACTGTTTTGAAAAAGCAGTTAAACTGAATTGCAGAATTTTCGTTGAAAATCTTTTCCTTGTTTGTTTGTTTGTTTTCTTTTTCATTCTACTGATTCTTTTGAAACTTCTCATAATAATAATAATAAATAAATCATATGAGACAATCTACTGTTCCATCTTTTAGCCCTTGTCTTAAACAGGACCGTGAGAGAGAATGCCTTGAATCGATCGTCCTATTCAGGGAAGGTACTTATAGATCTTTTCAGTTTCCTTATGCTTGGATCAGGGATCCAAGATCTCATAGACAACTCTGTGACTGATGACCAATCTGGCACAACTGAAAACCTTTTTTGGGGTGGGGGGAGGAAGGGGAGGGTGAGAAAGGTGTCGTTATTAAAATAAACTTATAAGGGTAAATTTTTGTCAGACGAAATAGCAAAGCAGAAAAAAGGTATAATTATCATCAAAATAGTAATAATAATAAACCTCTTGAGAACTCTACATAGTTACATATTCCAGACCAATCACTGAACAAAGAAATTTTTACTAAAGTTAGCGCAATTACAGATCACCTTGATCATTCTATACATTTCACTAGAAATGACTGACGTTGCTCATAATTTTTGTTTCAAACTGTCGATCGCAAAATGAATATTGATACACGAAAATAAACTAAACGTATTTTCTCTTTCAGTTTATTAAACCCATTACTTTTTGTTAGACCCATTCAAATATTAAAGCACATTACATTGCTTTTTACTCTGTGTCACTCAACTATGTAGAGAAGCTGATAAACTATAGCTCATGTAGTGTATTTCTTGTTTGTGTATGTTTCTAGCTTAAAAGTTCACGGGCCTGATCTTCATTTCAGCTCTCTTAGCGGAGTAACTATAACCCTTCCATGTATTCCAGTTGATACCACGATAGGCAGACCCGACGTGCGAACCGTGGTAATAGTAGCCGTTTAAGTTGGCACGAACACAGTTGTTGTACCACCAAGCACTTTTATAGTAAGCGGCACAGTTGCCCGAGTAATTATCATTGTCGCGATCTTTGGTGGTGAATGCCATGTTCCTATGATAGCTCAAAGAATCCCCGGCAGTTCCTGAGACAAAAACACCGACAGTTAGCAAAAGTAGGCACAACATTAAACTTGCGGCTCTCCTCAAAGACGGGAGTTTAGGAACCATCAGAAAGTCCAGAAATTGTGTTACTTTGGAGAGAAATTGAATGTCAGAGTTTTCCAGTCTCTGATGATAGAAGAGAATGCGATAAGTTCTAAAAAAAACAAACAAACAAAAAACAAAAAAACAAAAACAAACAAGCAAAAACGAAGAATCTACTGTTTTGGGGGATCTGGAGTAAATAACAGTTATAGTAACCTTTTCTGAGACGCTGGGCTTATTGGTCTCTATGAAAATGAAAGAATCGCTCTAATTCGGCACTCACCTGTATACTTCCCAAGGCCAAGTGTGTATTTATTTCTTTCGGTGGAAACAGAGAACATATCGTATTCAGCGTAAGCTGTCTTTCCTTGTGTGTCTTCAAGTTCCACTCGCAGTCCACTCTTTATTTTGGTCAGGCGGTGTACTTTGTCCAGTCCGAGCCAAAACTCACCATTTAAGTTTCCGAATCCACGTCTGAAGTCCGCCCAGCCGCGATTGTTGAAATCAACGGAGCCATCGAGTCTCTTCTGGAATACTGTCCACCCCCCACCTACAGATTTTTGGTCGCAAAACACATCAAACGCACCTAAACCATCGGGGTCGATTGTGTAAACTCCTGTAATTCTTTTGCCGGATTTGTACAGCTCAGCACAGTTTTTCATAGCTGTTGAAAGACATCGAACAACTATAGTTAGTGTGATATATTTCAGCATGGACGGGTTCTAAGACGTATATACAAAATTGACAGAAACTCACCTGGCGGAGTTGTTTTGTTCTCCGTCAAAGCATCGATTTTCTTCTCTAAATCTGCGAGTTGATTCTCTATTTTGAGAAGATGTACCTTGATGTCCACGTTATGGCACTTGCTTGTTGTCGAAGTATTGGGAGTTTTGTTGGATGTGACTTGTTTAGATTTACTGTTTACTCCGCCCAGTGTTTGAAAGATCGAGCTGAAGCAGAGCAGACAAAATATGATATTGAAAAAATTCATCCTCGACCGGGAAAACTCACTTCCCAGCTGTTCAGTGTCGCAATATAACTTTCTCAACGTATAAAAAATCTTATTAAAACGCTGTTCTGACCACGTCAGTATACAAGCAGGTAGATTTTTCTTGTTTGGGTGACTGTCATAGACAAGCACTGTTTTTGTTTCGTCTGTCATATCAGCTAACATTTCATTAAAAAATGTTAGTTTTATATTTTGCTCACTTCTAAATGTTCGCTCCCTAAAACGTTTTGTTACTGCAATATTTCCCCAGCTTTCGAGAATCAATTCAGTTTTAATCCGCGGCAGATTCATGTCGCAAGGTTTGCGAAAAAGTTGAAATCTTACTCATGCGCTTAATGAGATGCAACTACACGTCTGTTTGTTTGAAAACCACAAACGCCGGGATAAATCGTCACAGTTTCTTTACCTTCTAATAGATCCTATAAACAATAAACATAATAGGAAGGTCTAGAATGTATGGTGAGGTGTAGCATTAACAAACAGGGCAAAAAGTATTTTAAAAGTGCCGTGTCTTACGCTAGCGTCACCAGCGGCTTGCCGTGTTGCGAGAGGTTTCAAGCCTCCTCCTAACCCTATTCCCTCTCGACTTATGCATTCGTCACGCCAAGGCAACTCTTGGTTTTGTTTGAATACAAGATTCCATCGATGCACAGAGCTGACTTGCCAGTCAAGGATGAGTTAGACGCTATTGAAGCGATAACCCGAGTTTCCTTAGAGATTTGTTGTCAAAAGGTCTGGATAGCAGCAGATATGTCACGAATTTGAGAAAAGAAACGACATCTTTTAAAAAACATGCCTTCCAGCTCAGTAGACACTACGTAGGTAAATAAACGATTGATTGAAGAAACGATTGATGTTTCGACAGTTCTTCCGTCAGCAGACAAAGTAAAAAGTTGAATTTAAAGTATATCAAAATGCTCATTGGACAAAACAAACAATAGAAACAGAATAAAGCATGCAATTATAAGGAAAGTTTTAAATTATCGTGATAGAAATGATGATGAAGCGTAGGTTGCTCCCACTGAATGTGAATAACTTCTTTGATTTTGAGTTAATTACCGTGTTGATACAATCGCATGATGATATGTCTTAAGGGTAAAATTAAATTAAATGTTTAAAACCTCACTGAAAACATGGTAAACTAGCTGCCAAATATGCGTGACATACACGACTTTCATAATGGCGGACATCGCGAGAGTCCTGGATCGAGTTGCATGAAAACGAGGTCAGGCCAAAAGGCCAACTATCGCGTCGTTTGTTATGGCGAGCACTTCGAATATTTCAAAATCCAACATTTCTTACGGAAAACGATATACCTGGCGCTTCTCTTCTCAGAAAAAAACCTGAGGAGTTAAAAACCTCAGAAATTAAATTTTGGCTTAAATGTTGTGGAGACGCGGTGAAGCGAGTGCATGACTACATACGAAACTTAGTTTCTAGGCCGAACAAAGGTAGAAACTGCTTTCTTATTACTTTGAATATTATATTAAGTTTGCGTAAGCAAAGATTTTCAATTGATATTGTCTGGCAAATAACAACAGTGATTGTGAAGTCTTGTGGACAGCTACATCTGGTTGACCCTGTCATCCACAGTTTTCCTGCAAAAGCTATTTTGTTATGACATCTCTGTTTTTTTCAAAGGAATTTATAATACCAAGCTTCTACATTCAAATATTCTTAATAGTCGTGAATTTACTTGTTGACTGGGAATTAATACCTTAGATGAATAAATTCTTATTGTTTTGTAGCTTTAATTTGTTGTGGGTTGAAATTTTTCCAACCAGTTTGATTTTTAATCTCCTTTGTTTCAAAGTATGCTAAAGAATACAAAGGAAAATTAAAACCAAACTGGTTTAAACATTTTGCACCAAAGATAATTTGAATACAACATAGACAACATGGTATTTACAGACAGAATAGAAGTCACTCAATTATGATGTAAACCTTGCGATAAATAGTCAGAATAGAGGGTAAAATGTTGTCTTCATCTTAATGCCTAATTTGTAGCCCCTTACAATCTAGGGAGAGAAGAGATTTGTAGGCAATTTATGGGTTAAGCAATTCATTCATGTCTCACATGAATGTGATATTCACACTGATATTATGTTAGGTTGTGCATTACAACAGAATGCAAACACTGCCCACATCTGGTTTACAATTCCCATTTGATGTAGTGGAACAACTCTGTCCCAGATGTGAAAATTCTTAATCTTGTTAAAGGTAGGTTCAACATGTATCCATAAACTTGCAATTTCCTGTGTTTTTACCATATCTTCAAGGCAACAAATCCTTAACTATGAATCCCTTATCTGCCATAATGGAGTATTTGTTGTCAAATGGTAGATTTAAGAATCCACTCTATCTCACAATTTCCCGATTGGAGATAAAACCTCTATACAGTTGACTTCTGAATGTCACTGCTCCACTGGGAGAAATACCAACCAAACCTTTCAAAGTTGTGTGATTTTTGTAAGCACTGAAAAGTTCTCAATTCAACTGCAAGCTGCTTGGCATTTGACATATAACCTCAGTACAGTCAATTATGACTCTAGTAGATTTGTACCTCCCCTTAAAAGATTCGGGCATTGTATCAATTACTTTTCTGGTGGGCCAAATGTTTATTTGTCCAAACTTAAAAGAACACAAAATTGACCCATGTGACAAATATTCTACTTACTGTGGATGCTGATACATTAAATAATTGAGCTAGATAGTCCTCTGGGAATCCTTGCCTTAGTCTACACATGACTATAAAAAAATTAATCAAGGGGCCTTAAAGATCTAGCTCTCCCCTTTTTTGTTAGTAGTCTGCTTTCACTGTAATCAGACTCAGTGATGTTGTCAGTTTTTGACCGCCAGTAGGAAATGATAAAGATACTCAAAAACAGCCATTAAAGTCTCCCAGCTTTGAAATCCAGTATAAAAAGCAGCATTGGAATCTTTTGACTTACAGTTTTCAAAGTTAAACAATCTTTTATTAAAAGCATCACGTTGCCGCTGGGTATCTTGCAGTTGGCGCTTAAGTTCCTCAATTTCCTGTTCGAGTTTATGAATCTTCTTGTTATTGTTGTCAATAATTTCTCTCAAGTAGGCCTCCTGCTCGGTAAAATCAGTTTGTGTTTCGTCTTCGACTTTTAAGCTACAATCTGGTAGATCTGGGACCATTTCGTATGATAATTCGTTTGACGATTCATTTGATAATTCTTCAAGAACAACAGCAGGGGTAGACAATTTTCGTGATGCACTTTTCGAAGCTGTCAGCTCGAAGTTTCTTTCCGCCGGCTCCTTTCCTTTGCGTGGCGGTGTTCGAATCCATGAAAACACAGAAGGGACAACTCCATCTCTTAATTCATTTTTGACCGCGAGACATTTCTAATATAACCTTTCCTGAAATGCTGGGAGCATATCTTTGTATTTTCAGTTACCTTGAAGTGCTTTCCTGCGTCTCTTCTTATCGCGTAGAGGCATTTCTTCCTAACGGGTTCTCGGTCGGAAATTAAAAATAAGACACTTTTGTCCCATCGTCTATCCGGTAGCATTTCTTCGTACATTCTGGAACACAACAATAAGTCGGTATTTCCTCTTCTTGTAAATAATTCGACCGAATCGAGTCAAAACAGATCACCTGTTCAATCTTAGTAGACATTCTGTTTACAGTATTGTCCTCAAGAGTGGCCTTTCTGACCTCGGTTTCATGTTTAAGTAATTACCAGTCTATAAGAATACAGTTAATGCGATTTCCCACCATTCTTTTCAAACTATTAAAGCTAGACGAAGCGCAAATAAACAATAGACTTGACAAAGGCTTCAACAATAGAGAATGACAGTGACGAAGAAACCTGTGAAAAGGAGGTGGGCCGCTATATTGTCCAGAGGAGGGGTATATGAAAACCTTCCTGCATTTCTCGTGCTTAAAAAAACATCTGGACTGTGGCAAAAACAAGTATGCCCTAGAACACGACAAAGCAATGACGCAGGTAAACTGGAGCATGGCGGTGGTACCGTTCCTGAAACTGTGAATGAAGATGTATATATATATATATATCATAAAAGGATAAAGGTCCAGCGCTACTGATGGGATGGGCTCTGAAGTCAGCGATAGTAACACGCAAGAACCTCACCGATGCTCAGAAAAACTATTTTACTGAAGTATTTCAAGGAGGAGAACGCACCGGGAAAAAAGCTGATCCTTCTATCATTTCGAAGGCAATGCAAAGAGCTAAGCTCAGCAATGGCTCTAGTATCTTTGAAAAGGACGACTTCCTCACACCTCAGCAGATAGCAGGACTTTTTCTCGCTTAACAGCGAAAAATTTAACTTTCAGCACTCGGTGAAGATGTTGAAAAACATGAGGCAAACAGAGAGAAAGACATCCAAGAGCTTCATGAGGAAGTCATGAGGACTTTTGATCTTCAGCATCCAATCATGTTTGACGTATACAACATCTGTGAAACTGTGTGCCACTCCTAACTGTCAAAGTTTTCCGTAGGGATGCCGCGGGAGATTTGTATCGCGCTTGAGCAAGACGTATCTTCAATAACAAGCAGGCGCAAGCAACCCCATATAGATATTTAAGAACAGGTTTACAGGTGTGGTTATAAAATCTTGGACCAAATGTCCACCTTGAATTCCTTGCCTGCGAAAAGATCCGCGCCTTGTCGGCAAACTTAACGGATTACTAACGTACCTTAGTGATCCGCTATAGCTGAACAATTCAAGGAAGTGACGGTTTCTTTTTAAACCGTCTACAACATGTAGTCGTTTACCTCTTAAAAATTTCTGAACTTGGAAGGAAAGATTAAGTAGATAAGCACAACATGGGTTTGTTCACTTTCTTTTTCCCGGTGAAATAAGGATGTTAGTTTTTTCAGAAGTGGGCGTGAAAATTCTAGCAGACCAGACAACAGGCTTATGTTAAATTTGTCATTACGCATTCTCTACGCTCCATAATATGTTGCCCTATAATTCATTGATGGTTTAGATCCGACTACATATATTTGATGGGGATTGATCACTGCTCAGAGTGCTAAATATCAAACTAGCAGGGTGCATTCTTTCAAAAGCTACTGCTTAAAATATACAATATCAGCACAATTAACTCTCAGGAGACATGTATTTTTACATTAAGTCCTTGATGTGAGAGTAGTCAGGAATTGCTTAAACTGTTGTCAACACATGTTTTGATGTTGTTTTTTAAGGTTTAGTACTTTTTATCAGTCCAGGTTTCTTCAATTTGTGACACGACGTTTCTTGATTCGCCTGAAATTTTGAGCTTCAAAAGCGGCATTTTGGAATAACTTAGTCCAGTTATTATCCATTTACTACGCGGTGCGCATTGGTTTGTTTCTCTCCAAGGCCTACCTAACTTTGAAATATGAGCGAAATTGAATTTTCATCTGTTGCTTCCAAATGTTTGACCACTGGTAACATTCGCCCGTAAGACTTTAAAGCCCTTTTCTCTTCGATCAACAATCAATCTTTAGCAATCAACTATTTTCTTCAACAATCAAGTCTTTAAATATTCAAGTTTTGCCGGGCATATCACATGCATGTCGCATATGGTTTAAAAGAAATTATAAAATAATTCAAATAGTGCGCGCGCTCTGATTGGCCATAAAACCATTTTACATGAGCGTATGTAAACATAGTTTTCATACTGAATTTTCTCGCGGAGTTCTCCCTGCTATTTATTTAGCAGTAACTCAGTTTCTTTAAGTTTGAGTACAGTAATGGAAGAAGAAGATTTTCCTAATTTTCCTTTGGAGTTTAATTTTTCCAGTATTCAAGAAACGGCCGAAAAGCCAAATGAACAAGAACAACAAGCACGTCGCTTTCCTTCGTTGCAAGAAGAGGCTCTTTCATTAGTTATCTTATAAAAGAAATGTAAAATGGTTTCCGTGTTTACATAGGCTGATGTAAACACGCGGGAGGTTGGGAGAACACTCGATATGCCGGAAACCACTCCGCTTCGCGTCGTGGTTTCCTACGCTTATCTCGTGTTCTCCCAACCTCCCGCGTGTTTACATCAGGCTATATAAACAAGGAAACCATTTTACATTTCTTCAAAATCTCACGTTAATTACCGGGTTAATACAATCGCATAATGGTATGTCTTAAAGGTCACATCAAATGAAACGTTAAAAACCTCAAAACATGGTAAACCAGCTGCTAAATATGCGTGGCACACACCCATGTGGCAGCCACGTAGGTACGCGAAAATCTACTCGAAAAAAGAATTTAAATCACTCACGCGGCGCGACAAAATATTTCCATACATATTTTTGGGACTGTTGTCATCACCAATTTCAAGACTTTGAAGCCAATTTCTTTCCAGTTGAGTATTCTTTTGCACAATTGCTCTTCGTTTCCGAGGTCTTTAAGGTGAACTTTGATTGAGAATGGAGCGTTCGGTGTGCGGTCCTACAAAATATTTTCATATGGTTCGTTGGGATCGTTGTCATCGTCGATTTTAAGACTTTAAAGCCCTTTCCTCTCCAATTGAACATTCTTGCGCACGTTTCCTGTTCGTTTGTACCTGGTCTATACAGATGTATTTTTATCAAGGATCAAGTGAAAAGAAGGGACAACAAGCTAGATCATTTAAGCTACGACGACAGACGTCATTTCGAATTATGTTCATAACTTCACATAATAAGACAAAAATTTTCGGCCCTTGCTCCACATTCAAGATATCTGAGGAGAAGTCAATAGCATGATATTGGGGACAGAGGCAAACCTAACAAAAGAGGCTCGAGATTCTCATCCGCAGTTTTGCACGTCTCTACTTGGGACGCCTGGAAAGACGATGTTGATTTGGCGACTAAACAAAAAGAAAAAAAAGAATGACTCGAATGTTCCTACGGAAGTTCGAGTTAAAACTAAATGGTAATAGAGGTCAAGAACTTCAAACTTCAGTCAGAGTAGCTCCATTGCATGCAATTTTAAAAATCTCTGCCAAAATTCAAGTGCTTTTTTAAACAATTAAGAGTTTCGTTATGTTCACTATTTAGATATGAACTTTAAGTACAAACCAATCTCTTGGAGCAAACCCTTTCTTTGTATTGAAAATTATATCTTATGCGACTAATCTAAGTTCAAACATGCACAAAAAAAAAGATTTAAGGTTGAAGATCAACTATTCTCTTCAACAATCAAGTAATATTCAACTTTTTCCCGGCTTATCTCTTGAATGTTGCTCGTGGTTTAATAGTAAAACTTGAATGCTGAAATAAACATGGAATTTTGGCAAAGATCTAACCACATATATACTACCTACGTTATAACAACCTACCAGATGAACACTTAAATGGAGGAATGACTTTTGCACTTTTCTTTCTTTTATCAACAGCAGATTATTTCTAAACGGAGTGCAGAATTGGACACATAAGTAGAAAAGAGTACAACAGTTTACCCAATAAGGAGAAAGGTTGGTGGGGAATCCATCCAGGGGAGTTCGGGGTGAGAAAATTGCTCGATAAACCTCATAAGGAGATATTACGCTCTTAAATGGGTTGGGTTGCTTCACTATGTCTGGGCTACAATGAATAATTTTGCGTGACTCCGTCCAAATCAACAGGTCTAAGCTCGCTGGTTAAAGTAATACAGTTTTAAGTCAGTATTTTCGTATTTGAAAACATCATCATTTATTTTCGCTCTTCTGATTCTTTTCAAAAATTCTAATTAATCATGTAAGAAAATATTTGGGTCTTTAAGCTCTTGTATCAAACAGAGCCGTGAAAGAGAAGGCCTATTATCGTCCTACTCAGGAAAGGCACTTAAAGATTATTTTTCCCCTGAACTTGGATCAGGAATCCAAGATCTCACCGCCGGGTAACTCTATCACTGAGAATCTATCAGGTAAAACTGAAAACTTTTCGGGAGGGGACGGTGGTAAAGGAGTCACCATTTCCCTTGTTTATGTCAGATAAGTTACAGGGGTAAATTTCATGTCTGACAAAATAGCAAAGCAGAAGGACGATATAAATGTTAAAAAGAAAAAAAAAAAAGGAAAACTGCTGAGAACTCTTTTAAGACACATGTTCCAGAACAATTATAGAACATAGAAATTTCTACCAAAATCGATGTAATTCCCGATAAACATGATCACTACTGACATTTAATTGGATATCGCTCAAGTTACAAGGAAATTTTGTCAGTTTCAAGCTTTCGATCGTAAAACCAATAGAGATACACGAAAAACAACTAAACGTATTTCTCTCTCACTTTTTTAATAAATCCATAACTTTGTGTCAAACTCATTCAAATATTAAAGCACATTACATTGCTTTTCATTCTGTGTCACTCAAACATGTAGAGAAGTTTATAAACTATAGCTAATATAGTGTATTTCTTATTTGAGTATCTTTAATTTCTAGCTTAAAAGTCCACGGGCCTGATCTTCATTTCAGCTCTCTTAGCAGAGTAACTACCACCCTTCCATTCCTCCCAGTTGATACCACGCCAAGGGGCCGAAGTATGCTGACCGTGGTAATAGTAGCCGTTTAAGTTGGCATCGACACAGCTTTTGTACCACCAAGCACTACTATATTTT